ACGTCCACATTAATAGAGCTTTAATAATTAATCGAATGAAATCCTCTGTTGGCTTTTATTGCAAAAGATGAAGAATGCACTGCTCACAGGAAAAGTGGCTCATTACTTTTGAAATGCGTAGGAGTGAGTTTTTTTATTTTTACGTCATGGCTTACGGTACTTATTTTACATTGGCGTTAGTAATAAAATGAAAGTTTTATGTGGTCTCAGCTTCTAAATAACACGCGTAATACTGTCTTCTGAATTGGGATTGTGCATTATTTATCAACGATGCCGTTCTCTTGCGGACAATTGCCATATCGGATAAAAAACAGCCAAGGCTTCAAATTGGTATTTAACATTTTGAAAAGACACGTTTGGTTGTTCATTCTACAATATTACAAACGCATACGCACAACACTATATCAATACATTCAAGGAACGTTATTACACATATTATTGCTAATAATTGTTTTCACACAGTATACTTATATTTATAAAGAATGATTTCATGACGTTTGGACCTGTCATTAAAATTATGTTTTAACAATTCTACAACGATAATAATAATAAAAGACCATCTTATATTAAATTCGTCAAATATAAAATACACAGTAAAGCCTGCTCACCATTATCCCCAACATTTTTTTAAAAATCTTACACGAGTTAGGTTCCAAAAATGCATTGTTGCTTGCAAGCTTTGAAAACGCAACTGCTGTATTTGCATTCCTTCTTAAGATCCACAGAAGCTTTGCATCAGCAAATCATAGTGATTTTTCAAACACTATCTTTAAAAGCAACGCTACATTTAAAACATCAGAAAGGCAAACCCAAACACATACCGCTAACAGTGGGTGCACGAGATAGCATTTTCAGACACGATAATGTAACATACGCGCTATTTATAATTTGCTCAAATGCACTACAACAACGATAATCATTTCCAAGCAGCTTTGCAGAGGCGTTTAATTAGAGTGAATTACTTGCAGTTACCCCACAATTATAGCCGAAACATTACGGAAATGTATTTGTACAATAGCGAATATGCTTGACGAACACACCTCTTGATGTCGAGAAATAATTAACTATACCCAACATTGTAACGTATAACTAATTCATTTATACACCAAGAGCGTTAAACAAGAAATCCGCTGTATCGTGAACCAGTTGGAAATGCCAGTTATTAATTAGCATCTCCCAACCAACACCCCCCTCCCCATGCTTAGAACGATCAATACTTACAAACAAAACTACAGGTAGTCCCCGAGTTACGATGGAGATGCGTTACGATGACCCCATCGTAAGTCAGAAATATCGTAAGTCGAAGATGTCCTGGCCTACCCAGGAGTCTTAAAGAATGGTGATAATTTAGCAAAACAGAGCAATTTACAGTACCGTATTGGATAAATTACAATACTGTATTGCACAGTAAAATGTACAGTAAAAAAACAAGGTAAATTCTTAGCCTACCTATATGAACTGCAATTTAATAGAAAGTTTTTTCAGGAAACAATCCTATCTGCTATCAAACCTTTTAATATGCGTACATCCCTGCATCGTTTCAACGTACAGCATCGTACCTCGTGCGCTGCTGCGTTTGCCTGCCGCGCGAATTTTTTTTTTAACAATTGTCGTATCGCCATCGTAAGATCGAAATATCGTAAGTCGGACCATCGTAACTCGGGGACTATCTGTATATGGAAAAGGAATGCAACAAACTCCAGCAGCTGTAGTGTGACAGACAATTGGCAAAATTGATAATGGCATTGGCAAATTTGATAATGGCATTGGCAAATGAATGCTGGCGTGTTTTCGTCCGCCGGTTTAAACTCTGAAACGTTGTGTGCGTCGTTGCTCAGCTCGACATTTTACGTTTCAGACTTGACCTTTCATCTAGCAGTGGATGTATAATGGCTGCTGCTGCTGATGATTATTACTACAAAGGCTTCACCACAACAACCATTATAATGGACGTTTTTCTATCGTTTCTGTCTTCTTTGACACGTGTAGTATTCTGCTTAGCAGTGACGGGAGTGAAATGAAGTAAAAAAAATGGTCGCGTTTCTTCGTGCACATATTTAGCCACATCCATCCGGACCAACTCAACTCCCTCAACCACCAAAAAATACACGAGTCTACGGATTTAAAACATCACTATCTGCGCTCAGATCTTTTAATACTCGAGTGCCTTCCACATCAGAAAACTAAAAAAAAATGTAACCCAAGAAAACAATAACACTCACTGGTTTTTGCACAACATAAAACTGTGAAAACATTAAGATTGCATTTCGTACAAAAAAACAAGTAGCTCTATTGGAAATATCTGAAGCATGACATAGTCCTGCTGGCATGCTTCGATTCCCACTGTGCGTGAGAAAACCACGGGTATCAGCAAAATAATCCAAGTTGTGTCGTCTTTAATCGAATGCGTAGGATCTGGACAGCGCAATGTCGCTCCCCGACTAACAGTGAAGGTGAGTTGGTCGCAATATCACCGTGACGATAAACTCTGATATTGCTCATGAGTTCGAATGCAGGCGAAAGCAGTTGACAGTTATTCTTGGTTCTTTCGGTAAAGTCACGTAGAAGGGAAAAAATAAAATAATAATTAAACATTAAGACTCTGTCTACTTGACAGACCTGTTCTCCACCTGAAGACGGCTGCTTGCGTTGTGGCCGAAACGTCGTGAGAATTATTTTATTATGTTTTATTATTTTATTATTTTCCTTCTACGTGACTTTACCGAAAGAACCAAGAATATGAATCCCTGCAGTCACGAAAGCTTTAAGTTGACAGTCGTCTATCAACGCTGGTCGCATTTGCTCAAATGTATTTTGATGCGTGACCAAAGACAATAGGAAACCACACAATGCTCTGCTTCAGGAACTGCTGATGATTTTTTGCGAAATGTACGTTGTTTGAAACGTACGGATTTCCGACCTGCGCATTTTTTCTTGAATTACGGGTTTTTACTCATCATTTAAGTTTCATATCTATTGCCGGTATTAGCAAAGCAAATCTCTGTTCCCAATTTTACATTGTATCAATACAATATCCACGTGAATAATGCATGGTACGTCATTGGTTTAAGCTAGACAAAGCCATTTTAAAGACCACACGTAGTCTCAATTTAGCCGCGCTAAGAATGTGGCCTGAAAACAAGTTGTACGAATTGTCTCCCCGAGTCACTCAGGAGAGCTGACGTCTTGTTCTCGAGTAATTAAAGTGGCCAAACCAGATATACACGGCAGGTTACCAGAGCCCAGTCTGTCATTGTTAAAATGCATGAACAAACCCACGAAATAATTATATGCTTCATGACTCTCCACACTGGAGAAACATCTGCCACAACCCGGGCGATATTGACAACAGAAATCCGTCTCCCCTCATCATCTGTATGATTGTAGGGCTTCAAATTCCACATATAATTGGTTTAATGTGAATTTAGATGCGCGGAAGTTTCTCTGAAGCTATTTATTTTTTAGACATCGCTTCGCCGTTTTAACCGTGGGACGAAACAATGACGTCAATTTCAGAATCAGAATATTTATTTGATACTGCAGGAGGAATCCGATGCGCTATAAAGCACTTGTTCACAGATGTCCAGTCGGGGTGGTGAGAACGTTACATGTCCATTAACCTTAATTCAATGGGAGGTTTAGCCACTCAAACAGCATTTCATTATATCATGAGACAATCAACACCGGATACATTATTGTGTGCGTATATTTAATAATAATTAAAATGTATAAAGCGCCCTTATACACTCCTTGGTTCTTTCTGTAAAGTCACGTAGAAAGGAAATAGATTAAATAATAGAATACGACGTTTCGATTGCAACACAAGCAGTCGTCATCAGGTAGAAATAAATTTGAGAGACAAAACACAGACACGGAGACACACAGACAGCCACACAGACAGACACACAAGCAGAGAGAGACACACAGAGACACACAGAGAGAGACACACAACATAGACACACAGACAGACACACACGCAGAGAGAGACCACACAGAGACACAGAGAGAGACACACAACATAGACCCACAGACAGACACACAGAGAGAGACACACAACATAGACACTCTGTGTCTGTGTTGTCTCTCTCTGCTTGTGTGCCTGTCTGTGCGTCTCCGTGTCTGTTTTGTCTCTCAAATGTAGTTCTACTTGATGACGATTGCTTGTGTTGCAATCGAAACATCGTATTCTATTATTTAATTTATTTTCTTTCTACGTGACTTTACCGTAAGAAACAAAGAGCAATTCCTGTACTCACGAAAGCTTCAAATCAAGTTCGCCCTTAGACAATTGCTCTCAGGGCGCTCACCCTACCAATATAACTCTTAACCTTACTCTCTACCCCAATCCGATGTGAAATATAAGCAGCTGCCAAGAGGAAGTAACTTATTTCAGAAATGTACCTGGGTACTTTCGCAATTTTTGACCGCTTGACTAATACATTCATAAAAAGATTTTGTTCCTGTCTGTAATAATTTTTTACGCAAAAAAAGACCGTGGCGATGTTTCCGCGGCTATCAATGGGCTAAGTCGCCAAGACGATGCGAGTCGGTCGTAATCGATGTTGTTGCGACTGTTTTGTGAAGACGAGAATCTCTGGCCCCTCCTCTGTCCTTTGCCGATGGACCACGTTTCCCAACTTTGCCCCTCTGGCAGTGATGTATAAATACAAGGTGAGAACTCGCAAGTAAAGTTTTTTTTTAGTAATATCAAATTAACTGCATTCCAAAAGTGTGCATGCACTTAAATATTAGATTATTTTTCGATTTAAAGCTTTCGTGACTGCAGGGATTCATCTTCTTGGTTCTTTCGGTAAAGTCACATAAATGGAAATAATAAAATAATAAAAATAAAACATAATAAAATAATTCTCACGACGTTTCGGCCACAACGCAAGAAGCCGTCCTCAAGTGGAGAGCAGGTCTGTCGAGGAGACAGAGTCTGACAGACCTGCTCTCCACCTGAGGACGGCTGCTTGCTTTGTGGCCGAAACGTCGTGAGAATTATTTCATTATGTTTTATTTTTATTTTTTTACTTGATTATTATTAAATAATCAGCTGCTTACACGTTACTGCATTTGGGGCAGAACTCGTGGCTTTGGGTGAGACTTCGTGTGCACAATATACCCAACTTTAGGGTGGCAAGGTGCCTGCCGGAAGCAGTATAGCAAGTCGGTCAATGTCCTGTCTGTGTTGTTATTTTTATGGGTATATACAAAACGTATTACCTGTGGCACAGCATCATGGGAAGGGGAATAGTCAGTTGTGCAAATGGGCAGCAGACAGCAGGAGGACAAGACGACTGGGAAAGGGAAGGAATGATCAGGAAAGGGAAGAGATGACCGGGAAAGGGAAGGGTTTGCCAGCATGGAAGTTCTTAAGACGGACAAAGAAGGCACAGCTGAAGATGAGCAGCAGGAAGGAGCATCATGTAGGAATGAGGAGAAGAAATTAACAGGCCAAAATGTTGGGGATTTTTGTACATTGAACTTTTTTCGCACCGTACGTAGCCAACTGTGCTAATAGGTGCGGGATGGGGGAGGGCTAGGACAGCAAACTAAATACAAAAATCAGTTATAAAGAAATTAGTTTTCAATCTAGATTTAAAAGTGCATAGCTCCAGCGGATTCCTAATATCGGAAGGAAGAGCATTCCAGACGGCCGCAGATGCGCATACAGCGACCGTCTCTGTTTGATGACCATCCAAAATTGAGAGAGGGTGACGATAAGAGGGGAGGAGATAGAGAGGATGAGAAGGCAGGAGGCAAGTAGTAATGAGCTGCACGGAGCGGCGTCTGCTTTCACAGTGGGCGGGGCCTCCTGTGGATTTCCTCCCAAGGAGAGAAAAAAAACGAAACAAAATATTCACTAAGAATTTGGTAAAGACAGACCAAAGCAGGACCCTCCTGAGAAAAGGGATCTTAAGACTCAGCAAAGTTTTCCCCAAGTAAAATCACGTATTGATTACGTACGGTGCGAAAGAAGTTCAACATACGTACACACATATACAAAAACGGGGTTGTGCATCTATTCCACCTCGATCATTCCTATGACAGCTGCATTGCAGTTCATATTTGCCTTTGAGGCGTACGTGTCTACTTTTAACCCGTCAGTGACACGAGTACAGCTCGACGACTCATTGTTGTGAAATTCGTGGAATAATTCAGCAGTTTAATGTCGGCATTTACATCAATAACAATGTCAACTTGCAACTGCCAGTGATGTTATAATTCATGAACTTCCACGGAGACAGGAGTCGTTGCACGGGTCAAGGTCAATGCTGTATTTCTAAATAATACAAAACATCCATTTCAATAATGAGCAAAGTTTAAGGCACAGGAAGTGTTTGTAGAAACATAAATACGGTCTCGAGGCAGCCACTACTGTGATGTTAAAATTGTACGGGATTACACAGCGTGGCTTATCGAATCCAAATTGGGCAGGCAACTCAATTGTTTACAGCCTGACATTGCACAGGATACAGAAACCGTGACATGCATCACCGCCGACTCTTCAAAAACAATCGGTTAAAAGGCGTCACGAGGCCCCTCGTTTGTCAAATCAGACGCGATGTTATGTTTAATTTACGATGCCGTTTCACAAATAAACTGCTCACAGATGATGATAACAACAGTTATCATTATATCTAGATTTGAAGTTTTTGTGACTGCAGGGATCCATACTCTTTGGTTCTTTCGGTAAAGTCTTGCTGTGGTTGTCCCACCTGATGACAGACGCTTGTGTTGCGCCCGAAACGCAGTGATTTAATTTATTTTATTTTGTACCCACGTGACTTTACCGAAAGAACCAAAGAGTTATATTTATCATGATCCTTCACCATCCATGGCCAAACCCCTGCTGCAAGGTTGAAGGCAAGTCACACACCACCTGGAATTAAGATCTCTAAATAACGATACAAAAGACAAACATCAGGCTACATCATAACAATCGATCAAGAGTGCTTAAAAGATGTGGACATTCTCACACACACACACAATGATTGGCAGGCATGTCAAACGATTACGTCACATTTCACAAACACAACAGAGGTCGAACGACGATTCAACAATTCAAGATGCGCTTCGCAACTCGAGGCCGATCCATCAATGAAACGTTTCAATTTAAACTCTCTTCAGACACGTCTAGTAATGGCAGAGCATATTGTAATGCAGAACTCAGTGTTTAATAGCGAGCACGTGTGTGTGGGGTTTTCTTCCATGGAGGTGCGTTTCAAGGCCTCAAAGTCACCCCGATGTGATTGCATTTATTTCAAGGAAGTTCCTTGAGAGGCATTTAATTCCCTCTCGTTCAGTTGTCAGAAATACTCTCAGACACTCCGACGGGAGTGTGCAAAGCATTTTAAGTGGGACCATTTTATGCAACACGGTTCGTGCACGCTTGTACATAAACGGTCGCAATAAAATAACTAATATGTACAAATACATAATTTAAGTTGCGTTCACAAACACGTACATGTATGTAAAATACAGTACAAACATAGTGCACCGCTTGCTCTCATTTTGAAATGTAGGATTAATTAGTCTTAAATATTAAGTTTTGGTTTTAAATCAAGTTTTCGCACACGTTTCCATTGTCTCACCTCTCCAAGCACTTAGGTAATTATATTTGCACATTCACCTTTAACGGAGGATTCAACTGAAGAAGGCATGCTGGCATGGCTCAAACTCGCATGGGAAGCATCCAATTCCGGAGCTTCAATGCTGCCTCTGGGCATTGCGGTATACACAGGTACGAATGTCTAAATGCTATCACGATAAAGAGGCCCCCACAACTGAGAATAACTGATTAAGACGTTGACAAAATTGTGAATAACAGAATGCTCCGCTCCAGTGCACACTGGCGACTCGTGTTGTGGATGTACCTCCCCGGTTCATATCGAGCCATGTTAACCAGCATCCCATTCAATACAGTACCGCTTCTAAATGAGTATTGGACCACACGGACATCTCAATTTCTATTCAAAAGGATTTGTTTTCATTACCGAACATAATATAAAACCGCTGTATTTTTTTAAAAGTAAATACCGTACTAACATATGACATATAAATGCAACTGTTAAGGTCAATTCTGTGGGGGTAGTTTTAATTTTGGAGGTAGGGTTACATTTGGAACTACTGAACGGCACTACTAGGCAGTGACTAAAATTAAAACCAATATATATTTTTAAATATTTTTTTACTGTAAATACTTTAACAAGTGGAATGAAAATGATGCGTATTTTAACAGCATGTTTCACATTTTTCTTTTTCAATGATGGACAAAAGTTACCTGTTTTTTTATATTAAATGCTAGAAGTAGATTTAATTTATAGATTTGCTTTGGTGCTAGAACAGTATGCAAGATATCAGTAAACAACTTGAGATGCCATGCTATTTACTGCACCCTAGCCACTGTTACAACTTATTTTAAACTATTTTTTTATTTTACCAGGTAAGGCTCACGGAGCTATATGGCTCTTTTTCAGAAGCGACCTGGCCACAAATGATAGCTCAACGAAGTGGCCTATCATGTGCAAATTTATAGCAGACAAAATACTCTAAACGCGTTTTGATTCTAAATGTGGAGGGAAAAACCGGAAGACCCGGAGAAAAATCCACCGACTATGAGGAGAGACACGCACGACCTCCTGCATACCAGGCGAGGGAGCTAACATCTCGCCACCTTGGGCCCACTAATCCCCATGCCTCTCCAATGAGGCTATCATGCCTTCCTTCACCTACTAAATGCCTCCTCAGAAGAAAATCCAAATTCTTCTCATGAATGACCAAGGATTAAACTAATTTCACAAAAGATAATCTATTATTTGCCATAACGCAGAGAGTTATTTTATATCCTTTCTGGAATTTGTCATTATTTATTTAATACATAATTCACAATGTGCATTCAAAGTTGTTTATTCTAAGCTACCACTGCACTGAAAATCCTTGGGAAATTAGATTTGTTTCTTTTAGCTTTTAATGAATTCATCACTAATTATATCCTAATTGTATAAACGAGTTTTACGCGGGTAATTGTGCATGTCAAATTAGATAAGCTGTCGTGTTGAACGTGTCACGTCGGGAAACAATCCGGATATACAGTATTAGAAAGGTTTTCCACCTCCTAGAATTTTCACCGGTCTACCTTACTAACTGCGCTCCACAGCTGTGCAACAGACAAAGTGGTTTTCTCTGCTCTTCTACTCTGCTCCTGAGCGAGGCCATACCGAAGCATGAAGCCAAAAGACATCATTATTTTGGTGCACATTATTATTATTTGGTGATGCTGCTGCTGCTGCGCCGTTGGCAGTGGTGCACAAGCACCGATGACAACAACAAAAACACTCGGCAACAAACACCTCAGTCAATAACACAATGGCTTAAAAATATACATATAATTATCGGCCACAGCGTTATTGACGAATGTGTCGAGTTACTTTGTGCCGAGTTCTCATTAACCATTGGGTACAAAACCGACAAACACACTCCGGTGAGAGCCGTGGCTTCGGAGCAGCAGAATTCAAAACCCAGAGGAAGCTCAAGTGGCGCATGGCTGGGGCGCGATGACACCACAGCCATGGAAACTCTCCTCGAGATCCACTCGAGCCAACTCCGGGGCCCGCGAGTGGTTCGACCACGCGCGCGCGATTGACGACGATGCAAATAATAGAACCTCTCCCGTGCTACCGTGTCCCATCCCCCCCTGCCCCCCACAACGCCCGTGTACCCTTTAGGCATTGCTCTCTTTGATTTCCGCAGGGTCGAGCGGCGGGGAGTTGTGCGTGCCGGGGGCGACCATCTCCCCACCCGCCGCCTTCTCCCGCGCACGCTTCTCCTTCGCCAGCAGGTGGTAGTTGATGCCGTTGGCGATGAAGAGGTAGATGCCAGCCACCATGACGATGGCGCCGCACACGTAGTACATGTACTTGTAGTCGCCCGTGACGTCCACCAGCCAGCCTGGGGGGGGGGGGGGGGGACAGGCGGAGTGGAGGAAGTTCAGTTTCTGTTCATCTTCAAATAGCCCGTGAGCCTGAGAAGCTCTTAACGTCGGGTTTCATCGATAAAAACCACACGCCGTTTCATTGATTGACGTGACAGAGAGAAAATAATACATGAATAATAAACGTGAATAAATGAAAAGAAAGGCAAGAAATCATATCATTTCAAATACAAGATGTGTCTTTTAAAATGTGTATCCAATTAAGGCACACAGCAGCAGCAGAAGGGAGGGAGATCATTTCAAACTAATTATTCGGTGATGCCGCTGCATTTGAATGTGTGTGTATATTTGCTGGAGCTTATTTCGCACTGTAACGTAGTGAACCGTGCTAATCGGAGGTGCGGTGATGCACAAGCACAAAAAAAGGGACACGATCCGTCAATAACACTGTGGCCTTAAAAATAAATATGTAATTGATGACTTGTTGGGCAATAGTGCTTCTTAACAGCACAGGGGCCAGAGTTCGTTCGGGTTGAAGACTACCCTTTACGCCATGGGGGGCCTGATAATTACATAAAAAAATGTGTTTTGATGAGCAGTTTTTAAATTGGCATGTGAATAATTATCTAACAGTAGAAATAAACAGCAGACAAACCCGTTCAACAAGCTAATTGAAAAGCATTTTTTTCGATTTAAAGCTTTCGTAACTGCAGGGATTCATGTTCTTGGTTCTTTCGGTAATGTCACATAGAAGGGAAATAATAAAATAATAAAAATAAAAAATTAAATTATTACGACGGTGGTGGTTTTCACACCTGATGATGATTGCTTGTGTTGCAATCAAAACGTCGTGAGAATTGTATTGTTTTATTTATATTATTCATTATTTCCCTTCTACGTGACTTTACCGAAAGAACCGAGAATATGAGAAGCATATGTTTTTTTAAAGGTGCAGCCCTGCAATTGAGCACTCAACGCCTCTGCTAGCAGCACGGGCCTTCACTGGAGCGGGGCTCAAAAGCGCTCTCCCCTCTGTTCCCCTCTTTCATAGTGGCCAGACCGTCCTGGAAGAGGTGGGCATACACCACACTTTACCCCACCACACTGTGTTGTGCCGGTGTATACTGCCGGGTGTGTGCCGGTGTTAACTGCCGTGGCAAAGGATGGAATCGAACCGGCGAGCACTGGATCGCTAGTCCAGAAGGGCTAAACCATTCCACAAAGGCAGCTCCCCCGCTCGATGCACGTAACGTGAAAGAAATGAACGATTTTAAATACCTGCATCCTTGTATCCATAATAATAATAATAATAATGGCAACAATGCGAAGGAATGTCATTAAATGGCTAATCCGGTCGCACAATGGACTCCTCAAAATTATCCCACCACATAATGTCGCTCTCTCAAATTTTAACTCTTCACGAAAAGAGGCATATAATAAATATTCCGGCTCCATTCTGTGTCTCCGCATACAAATTAAATATGCTTTTTAGTTGTCGGCCTATTGGCTTCCCAGACCATTATTACTCAGCGACGGCATGTTTGTAAATCAAGAAAACCGATGAGACCCAGGAGGTCAAAACCGGTGCTGGGTTTGCCTTCTTCAAAAAAATACTGCCGGATATGAATGCGGAGAGATGCACGTTGTTGTTGCTACCGAGAATGCTGCACAACAGCACGAAGTGAGTGCCCCGGCAGGAAGAAGCACCGTTGGGCTGGAAGCGTGTCCAATGCCCTTACCTCCGATGGGTGGACCCAGAAGCACTGGGCAGCACTCAACGATGGTGACCAGCCCCACAGCACTGGAGAACCTCTGAGCCCCGACCAGGTCCATGAGCGTCTCGAAGAGCATGGCGCTCACCATGCCGAAAGCCATGCCGAAGAAGGCGGCGTAGATCGCGAGCCCCGTGTAGTCGGACGCGAAGGGGCACATGACGTGGCAGAAGCCGTTGAAGAAGACGGCGAAGCTGAAGAAGTACTGGATCTTAGGCCGGATGCGCGGGTGGTTCGCCAGGAGGCCTGTCGTAGGCCTCGCCACCATGTCGACGAAGGCCATGATGGAGAGCAGGAAGGCCGCCGAGTAATCCTCGATGCCCATGTGCTTGGCGTAGGGGGCGAGAAAAACAACAGGCGCGAAGAATCCGAAGAACATGATCACGTTTCCCGAGAGGTAGATGAGGAAGCCGCGGTGCTTGAAGAGCGTCAGGTCCAGCAGCTGCATGAAGCGGCTGGAGAACGAGTTCTTGTCTTTCGCCTCGGAGTTTGAGGTCGCGAGCAGGGGGTTTTCCAAGTCTTTCGGCGCCTCCTCTTTGCCCTTCTTCCGAGAGTCTTTGGCCGGAGTGGGTCCCACGGGTCTCATGAGAGAACCGGCCACGCAGCAGTTGAAGAGCAAAGCGGCCAGGATGAGGAAGCTCCCTCGCCAGCCGAAGTTGTTGATGAGGACCTGGTTGAGCGGAGCGATGGTGCTCAAGCCTACGGGGCTCCCGGCCATCGAGATTCCATTGGCGATGGGGCGCTTCTTGTAAAAATACTTCCCGATTATCGTGAGTGCGGGTTGCAGGTTGAATGCCAAGCCCAGACCTGGAAGAGAACGGTGCGACTGTTGAGTATTTCACGGCATTGCATAAATGGGCACGAGAGGGTGGGATTTTGTCTCCAAGGAAAATAATTTAAAGAGACATACCCTGAAAAATATAGCATCACTTGTTTGGACATTGGACCGCTTGATGAAAAGGAGTTGTAACTTTTTGGCACTCCACCAGTGATGCCCCTCCTGTGAAGGTTTTCCAGTTTGGCTGGGCAGTTGGGGATTGTAATCTGGTAGACCTAATGAACTAATACCAACCAATGGGATTTTCATTGGCTCGGTAGTGGCTGTATATGGGATTCTATCCTTATATTTAATGTACAGCATTGTTGGATGTTACATAAAATGAAAGTATTGCTTTAATTATTATTAAAGTGCTTAATATAAACATTTTCTCACTCTCTGATCTGTTTTCAAGTTATGCCATGGTGTTGACTGGCACAATGTCTGACGTTTCGGTCCATGTTCTGGGAGCTTCTTCGGGAAGTGAATAAGTGAGAAAACTCCCCAGCACGCGGAGTGAAACGTCGGACATTGCTTGGAACAAAACACGTGGTACAAATCACGAACGCATCGGAGAGCTACGCCGCACAACCGCGGAAAGCTACGCAGTAGAAACACACTTTACTGGTATGTTAAAATAACTAAATAAATTTACCTTTCGTTGTTTTACCGCCCGCATTACTCTTCATATTCTTTCTTGGGTTGTTAGCAAGTTAAATATGTCTGCTTTTATTTACCTTTTAAAGTTGGTAATTGAGTTTGTTGTCTCCGTTATTAAAAAAATGCGACTTGCGCGCAAGCTTGTATTCAGGTTCAGAGCACACATTATGCGGAGCAACATGCTTATGATTAATTTCAAACAGTGCACATCTACCAAGCTATTGCACTTTTAGATTTTAGACATACACTGTTACTTTTTGAGTGTCAGAAAAACTGGTGCAGTCAACCAACCCAAACTTTAATTTTTATTTGTCACTGCATACGTAAAAAAAAACTCATTCTCCAATGTCATTAAATGCAATAATGCACTGATGTCAATGTATATATACGCCCTGTCTTGTCAATCCACTGCCGGATGAGGGCCTGCGAAGCCTTGCAGCACAGGAGGTACATTTGACCATACTTCACCATGCTAGTCAATGCGGGTTGGTGAAAGTACGTAACAGCAATGGATTTATGTACGTATGTAGAACTTATTTTGCACTGTATGTAGCCAACCATGCTAATCTTGTATTTCAGTTCGTTGTCCTTCCCTCGCACCTCAGATGAACACGGTTGGCTACGTACGGCACGAAAGAAGTTTAACATAGATACAATTCGTAAGTGCGGAAGATGGACAACAAATACATTTTGTTGCATTATCCCACAACGGCTATCAACCTGGTTTCTCGCGCATGGTGATCGCTCATCCAAGCGCTGTCCAGGCTCTGATCAGGCCCACTCTGTGTGATTTGGTCATGATATAAATGATTTATATACAATATGTAATCCAAGTGTTTTCATTGACTTATATCCATGAGAGTTTCATCATAATTAGTGATGTAAAATGTATTTAATGTACACGAGTGTGTAATTGTAGCTTACTTTTAATGTGTGTAATGTGTGTATATGTTACCAGTGGGACAAGACTACCATTTAATCACGGTAAGAGTATGCTAAATATCTGTATGCATTTAATAAAAAAAAAGTTACCACAACACGTACAAAGATCAAATGTGACATTCACCTGCTGCAGTTTAAAAGTTGTTCGGAAACCTTCATTATTCATTGTTAGACAAGTATTGTTACTTTTGACTGCATCAATAATAAATTATCCTTGGCTTTAACGGATTAATTAAAGCTTAATCTACAGGCAATAGGTGTATAATTTATTTCTATAATGCATTTATTGGTCCTCATGAACTTCCACGAATTGTGTTCTGAATTAATGCTATTATATTGCAAATGTAATTAAGAACGCATTTCTGAGTTGCAAATGCGGTAATGTGCCAAGGCATACTTACATCAAATTAAGAAGACATACTTAGAAAACCATATTTAAAAGTGAGATGTTTGCATGTTTGTGCTGTAAACACGAATGCCAATGTATAAATAATTCATAGCAAATCCGGCTTACATTTATTATAGCACTGAAAGCCATCTGCAATGAGCAATAAGGTGCTTGACATTGCAATTATTTTGCCCATGAATTCATATTCAACGGCTCATGTGTGTGTGATATGCAATGGAATATGTAGTGTTACAGTAAGTGCCAGTTTATTATGCTGTGCCAATTTTCCTTTTTTGCTACTACTGTACAGCACATTTGAAAACATTAAAAATAATTTAAGCCCAAGCTTACACGATTATTATTACTATAATTATTTACAATTAAGCTACTTTATTATAGTCGTAAACAATGTCCGTTGTTCATCCAGGAAAACACCACTGAGGCCCAAGGCTCTCCAAGGAAAGTCTGGTCAATTACAAAAATGATTGTCGGCATCTGGCAGAAAACGAGAGCGCCCGAAGACAATCCATGCACACAAGGAGATGGATGCAATGCCTACTTGCTGTACTGCTACCCTCTTGGTCACCTCATAAGCCCACACTATCAAGGGTTGGTATTCCCAGATAAGTCTCCCGTGCAAGTACTAGCCAGGCTCAAACCCTGCTGAGCTTCAAAAGATCTGTTCAGACCTAGCGCAATTTCGGGTTATTTGAACGTAGGGCGATTAAATCCAACAACTATTCAGACCCTTAAACGACAAAGCTACTCGGCAAAGAAGAGCAAGTCATCGGGTAGAGAGTTTTACATCCACCGAGTGTGTACGTATATTAAGTTGTGCCGAAAGCCTACGCAGGGGACAGTTCGACAGATGGTGTGCGCTGTGCTGACCCCTGCACAGGACACGTTTTTAGTGTGCACACGCAGTAGTCAACAAGGTCATTAAACTCCGAAGCATACCTTGTCGCTTGCCACACTGGGTGGCCGTAAAGATTAACAGGCAGCCTTTGAGTAGCGCTCTACGGCAGGGAAGTATGAACAGGCAGATAAAGTGTGTGGCTTGCAACGCTGGAGGGATGAACGGCGTGCATTGGTCAATATCATTTAGATCTATGTGGGGAGTTGGAAATGTGCCCCTACTGCTCTCCGAAGGATCGTTTCTCAGTGCACATGTCCCATGGTGTTAATGAGCCATGAGTGGAAATGTCACATCACTTGTGACCAGGTTAAAAATCCTATCTGTAGGACATCCACTGCCAACCTAATACGCGTATTTAGTGCCCATGGTACGAATTGTACGAGCCAATCGAGAAACGATGAGCTGCACAATTCAAGTAGTGCAGTGCGTTAACGCGTGCGTGCCACAGAAGTGGCAGATTGTCAGGGTTCAAAGATTCAATTTACACTCCTTATCAGAGGGCATTGTTAGCCTGTTGCCAATTGTAAAATTATATAGCGAAGAAAGGGTGGAACGTTGTGTGCCAGAGTCAATGATGCATACATCTGCCATATTTTCAAGGTGTAAGTATTTTCTAAAATTAATAAGTCATGTTTTACAACCCTTTGTCAATCCATTCCTGAATGTTGGCCATGAGGGTTGTGACCATACTTCACCATGGTGGTCAGCGTGAGTTAGTGATGGGGGGGGGAGCAGCACCACCAGTTTATAGGTTTCACTCGCCACTGATGTTAGCCGTGGCTGAAAATGTAACTCAGGTTTTTAAGTTCAGAGCACCATGTGCTGACCAGAGTACTACAGCTCCGTCCCATGAACATTAACTTGTCCAAATCTGCTTTTGCCCGTGTTTTGTTCACTCCTTATCGCACACGTTCCACATTTTATGCTCGACTCAAGCTCTCTAGGAAATGACTAGGCATATCATGATCATAATCATCATCATCAGTCATGGTCAATCCACTGCTGGATGAAGGCGTCCCCCAAGCCTCCGCCTCCTCTCGTGATCCTGCGATGCGGCAATCCATCCCAGCAGCTCCACGCGAGCTGACATGCAGATTCTGGATTGGATTGTTGGTTAAAGACATGCGGCTGGTTTCATCTGGTCATACGATAGGGGCGGCAGTTGGACTATTGTTGGTAAAACAGAGCTGAAGTTGTTGCCATTCAGCTAAGCGGCCCATGCTTTTCCATTTACTTCGGTTGTACAAAGATGAGTGTCAACATTATAGAATCCTAACAACACCTCGCACCAACACACCAAAGTATTTACAGTAGCCACACACGTGATGCCGATGCTCATGATGAGATCACAGCCGCTATCTCGTGACCTTGAGCTGCTCGTCCCCCTTCTGGAATCTCGGTGCAAGCGAGGTGGATGAAATGGCTCGGCGAAAAGGACAATCGCCGTGACGAGCTCGAAATAGCCTCATCTAAAAACCATCCAGCAGATTACATAGACATCCCGCCGCTTGATGGACAGAACCACAAGTTTCCAATAAATTTCGTCAATCAGATTTAGCACCAGCTCTTAACACGCACGCTTGCCGACGTATGACCGAGCGTACAACTCACGTGTTAATTGGCTTTTCCTAACGATTGCTCGAGTGCGAGTGTTTCACCGCTGCCACGCTCTCATCACTTGACGTTCCGGCCGCATTGCGCCGAGCAGAGTGGCGTGGCGATAGAATGCACGGCTCGTAATCTGAGGGTTGCGAGTTCGAATCCCGGTTACGGGGATCGACCCCGGCGTAGTAATCCCTTCAGGGGTTGGTAAAATAAAGTAGCAATTTGACTTAAAGCTTTCGTGACTGCAGGAATTCATATTGTTTGGGTCTTTCGGTGAAGTCGCGTAGACAGCTTCAAATTAATAAAAAATAAAATGAACAGAAACCATGAGGTTTCGATCACAACACAAGCGACCATCATTAGTTTGAACCTATCTCCGTGACTTTACCGAAAGACCCAAAGAATATGGGTACCAATTTGTTGTGAAGTCAACAGCTGTTGCTTTTTGTTTTTAAGAGGAACTTGCATCCTTTCCATGC